GCTTCTTAGTTCATTTACATCCTCATTAGATTAGCCAATGACTGGTGAGAGCAGTCAGCGTCAGTATTAGATATTAGCTAGCCCGCTTCCGTTTGAATTCAGTTCGAGACCGGGACCTCAGGTTAGACACACACACTTGTAGTTCATATCCTTCGTAGATTTCCACTCCTGTAACTCTAAGACTAGACCATTGTAACTAGACCATTGACTTTGTATTGACTTGTATATACAGCAGATAGATCATAATACAACAGCCCGTACAATCTGAATCGACCCGTTCTCCGTGTGTTTTACTTGGTTAACTAGCAGATCATATAGACGCGTAACTTGGCGTGAGTAAAGTTAGCCCAACACCTAAAGTACACCGATCCCTAAATTCTACAAAGCCAACTTCAATGTGCTAGTGTACCACGCCCCTAGACAATCCCTACCCAACATTCCGGGTACGGTTTTATCACATTTGGACCTAGCGTTACTTAATCTCCAAGCAGATCGGTGGCTAATGGACACTCCTCTGGCCAATGGATACTGTCTTGCCACCGAAAGATCTGCTTGGAGATTAGCGTTACTTACATGCCTGGCAAGCGGTCGTGTTTCTTTGACGACACTCGGACAGGCTGGGTCAATCTGGTCAATCTAAATGGGTCGGTCCTAGTAGTCACGTGGGAGATGACCCAGATCTCAAGGGACTGAACCATTTTATTTGTGCGCAGGGAATTGTGCTTGACAAAATGAAGCAGAGGACGTAGAAATATAGCTTCCACCAGGCCATAACGTTTGGGGTTATGGGTAGTAAAATGGGGGAGTGTGAGCCCGCGGAAGAGTAACATTTTCCAAATGGTACCTATGGTGGCCAAACTCATCTGACAATTTGGCTAAAATTTACTTTTCATGATTTCAGCCATCGTAAAGTTAGTCTAAGTAAGGACATTCTACAGATAGAATGTCCTTGGCCTAAGCCTGGTGGAGACTAGTAAAAATCAGTAAACAGAGACAACGACATATCAGTGAAATGATCACGATGTATTTTATTGGCTAACACTCAGTGCTCTCCTACAGTGTTTCAGCATCATCACCACACACACTTAAAATCTTCACGGGTACACGTTAATCTTGTCCCAGAAATCACACGTTTCATCCGAATAGCCTTGCTCAAGGCTATTCTGTCGAACGTCAAATCGGACGCTCGTGAAGTTGTCTGAGCCCGAGAACCGCGGCCAGGCAAGAACATCTCTATTTACGTTTTGATCAAGGTGTGTGGCTAGTCGGTTTGGATCTCCAGAGTGAGCGAAGTTGCCATAGTAATATGCCATAGAGTCAGCCAAGGTCTTTTCGTCTGGTGTCAAGTAGTAACCTCTCAGTTGCAATGCACGAAATGTGAAGAACAGATCTGTGCCATGGCAAACGTGGCCCTCGCAGAAAGTTTAATTCTCCCACCCGCCCTTCTTGGTCAGCGGGTGAGCAAAGACGTAAGACCAAAAGTCTGCACTGCCGTTTTCTGCTGCACTGCGCTGAACGTGGCGGATCGGGCAGGAGAAAAGGTAGTGCGTCAATAAAAGAGAAGCGACCGGTCGCTCATCTCCGGAGTGAGACGGTGGGTACTGACGGAGCACCGCCGGTCCGTTTGTCAGGAATAGTCCGTATACGAGGGCTTCATACTCCAGTGTCAACAACGGCTTTGCTGTACCATCGTACACCAATAGAACCCCTTCTTCTGTTGTGGATCCAATGATGGCAGGCTTCTGTTGGTACTGTCCATTTGAAAAGAGGTCCATTAGTTGGCCACGGACGAGGTCTCCATCTATTGTAGGACCCCAGGGTTCTAGGAGTTCTATCAGCCGGAATGGATTCACCACCTTTGCTCCAGCAGCATTCTGAGCTTGCGCTACCTGAGACGCCGAGGCCGATCTCATACAGTCCATATCTCCAGGAGTACAGTCCAATAGACGGGCAAAATCATCTCCAAAAATCCTGGCCTCTAGGTCAGTTCTGAAGTATAGAGTGGGAGGGGGGCTAGAAGCGATAGCCCTGTGAAACAGGTGGTCGCTTTTGTCCAGTGTCATGTGAAGGAGGGCTGAGTAGGCTCCCGCACTCTGCCCATAGATCGTGACACGGTCTTTGTCACCACCGAAATCTGCGATGTTGTCCTGGATCCACTGCAGAGCTGCTATCTGATCGAGAATGCCGAAGTTGCCAGTCGCCGCTCCCTCCCCCTGCCTTGTTACCAGGAAGCCAAGGGCACTGAGTCGGTAGTTGGCTGCCACCACAACAGTTTTGGTGCTGTTCGCCAGGAATCTGCCGTCATAGAGAAAATCCATTGCAGATCCTTGGAAGAAATTGCCGCCATGTATCCAGAAGATAACTGGTAGCTTACCTCCAGGTTTAGCAATGGTAGGTGCGAAGACGTTCAGGTACAGACAGTCCTCGCTCGTACCATTGCCAAGCGGTGGCGCCCTCAGGCCATGAGGAAAAGGGTCAATGGTACCTGTGTGAGGAATGCACATAGAGCTGAATGTTGTGGCGTTGAACATGCTGGGCGTCCATGACGTCGGAGGCTGGGGAGGTTTCCATCGAAGATCTCCTACAGGTGGAGCAGCGAAGGGTATGCCCAGGAAAATAGACCCCTGCTGAACGTACACACCTTGAATGGGCCCATACTGCGTCTTTACAACAGGCGCGTCTGTGGCCGACACATTGGCGGAAGTACTAGGTAGAGAGATTGCAACGAAAACAGCTGCGATCTGTATGAATGTCAGACGTGCCAGCATTTTTTGACAGGCGCACTATTTAGTCGCGGCTGTGAACATTCTACAAATATATTACCCATTATACGAAGTAGACTTTGGACGGGTCAGATGCCGGTTTTACGCCCTTTGTACAAATCACGTGGTAAGATGTAAGAAGGATACAAGATAGTGGACTGCTGCATTTACGGTCAGATTTATTTAATTCCCTACAGATACACTCGAAAGCACCAATTTGCCGATGCATATTGGAGGTCAATAAACGCAACGTATTTTACCCTTAATCCTTTCGCATGTACATACCTCGGACTCTAGCATAAGTCGCACTAAGGTCAAACGGAAGTTTGTACATCCTTCCATGAACTTTACTTTTAGAGCAGAACTTTATAAACAACTTTGAGCTTTTAACGCATACATGTGCACAGGATTGAGCTATCTTAAACATGACTGAGGGGCTGTTTTGATACATGCAGTTCCAGTGTACTATGTAAGCGACACATGCCTGCATGTAAATACTTCCAACGTAGTTTGCTTTGTCGTAACAATGCCAATATTCACCACATAGCTACTAACTTACGGTAGTTTATGTTCAACTCTGACCAACCCGAGTCATGGAAGTAGAGGTCATTTGTTAATTAATCAAATTACAACCAAAAATCTCACTATAGTTATATACGCAAAAAGATTGTTTCTTGCAAAATAAACATGTTTGCCTAAACTTTGTCAGGGATAAAACCAAGTTAATTTGGGGGACATCCTACGTGAGAAAAACTCAAATTGTGTTCATCTACATCTAAGCTGTTTCCGTCTTTCTCTATTCGGAGAGCTAGAATGCTCACTTCAAGGTAAAATGTGATGCCGATTTACTAATCCGGGACTTCAGGTTTACGGGTAGGGGCTGATGCTGTCCCAAAAGTCACACTTATCCTTCAGATAGCCCTGTTCCAGGCTACTGTTCGGAGTGTCAAAGCGGATGTTGGTGTAACCCTCGGAAGTCAGGTACGGCGGCCAACGAGGAGCGTCGCTGCTTGCTTCTTTGGCCAGGCGTGATCCAGGTTTGTTGGGGTCGCCCGTGTGAGCAAAGTTGCCGTAGTAGTACGCCATCAAGTCGGCCAAAACCTGTTCATCAGCGGTGAAGTGGTATCCTCTCAGTGTCTGAGACTGGAACGCAAACACTACATCTGTCCCATGGCAGACGTGCCCTTCGCAGTGAGTGAGGTTCCCCCAAGCATGCTTGAAGGAGAGGGGGTGAGCAAAGACGTACAGCCAGAGATCCGTGTCGTTATATTTTGCTGCATTCCGTATGGCGTAACGGGCCGGGCAGGAAAAAAGGTAATGCGTCACCAAGACAGAGTCAATCGGCCGCTCATCCCCGGAGTGAGATGGAGGATACTCCCGGAGCACCGCCGGGCCGTCGGTCAGGAAAAGTCCGTAAACAGAGGCTTCGTACTCTAATGTCGACAATATTTGTCCTGTCTCATACACAAAGGCGATCGCTTCTTCGGTAGTGGAGCCGATGATCAAAGGCTTCTTCTGAAACATTCCGTTTTCAAACGCGTCGACCACCTGGCCAGGAACGAGGTCTCCATCTACTGTCGGCCCCCAGGGCTCGAACAGTTCGATCAGATCGAATGGGTTAACGATTTTTGTCCGCACGGCATACTGGGCCTCTAAAACCTGGGTGGCTGAGGCCGCTCTCAAACACTGCATGTCTCCTAGAGTGCAGTTCAGCTGGCGAGTAAAGTCATCTCCGTAAATGATGGCTCCAACCTTACTTCTGAAAGTTAAGGAGAGAGGAGGGCTCGCGGCGATAGCTCTGTGGAACAGGTGGTCGCTCTTGTTTACTATCATATGGAGGAGAACAGAGTAGGCTCCCGCGCTCTGTCCAAATATTGTGATCCGATCTTTATCACCACCAAAGTCTCCAATGTTGTCCTGGGTCCACTGCAGAGCCGCTATCTGGTCTAGAATGCCGAAGTTGCCAGTCGCCGCTCCATCCCCCTGCCCTGCCACCAGGAAGCCCAGGGCACTGAGCCGATAATTGGCCGCCACCACAACAGTTTTGGTCTTATTCGCCAAGAACCTCCCATCATAGAGAGGTCCCATTGCCGAGCCACCCCAGAAGTTACCCCCGTGTATCCAGAAAATTACCGGAAGTTTGCTTTCGTCGGTTTTTAACGGCACAAAGACGTTCAGGTACAGACAGTCCTCGCTCCTTTCCCTGCTGGGTGGACATTGTCCGATGGAATCTGCGTCGTCAGGGCCACACTCATGTTGGATACAGGCGGCGCTTGGTGCCGTGGCGTTGTACGTCGTGGCCCATTTTGTTGGGGGCTGCGGAGGTTGCCATCGAAGACTCCCGACAGGCGGGGCAGCAAAAGGCACCCCGAGGAACATCGATCCCTGCTGGACATAGACACCCCTGATGGGCCCATACATGGTGTCGACAACGGGGCCGTCGGCTGTATGGTCATCGGTAGGACTGGGGTATAAAACATCCAGTATACCCAGGAATATCCCCAGAAATATCAACTCTAGCTTTGCCATCGTTGTTACGTTTGTGCACTCCTATTTTGAAGCTAATAAAGTGACCTCTGACTATTTGAACTTTGTCCAAGGAGAACACCCGATAAGAACACGTGAACAATCAGACTTTGCCCAGTTTACTCTAAATCACCCTGATGGAACAGATCCAAATGTTGAGTATTACACTTTACATAATTACCCAGAGTACTGTGGAGAGGATGTTCTCACATTCATATTACTGTATGCGATGTCCTACTCATTTTTCAGGAGCTTTATCTTCATGAGCTTTGATAACCAAGTTAGGTGAATTCAATAATAAGTACAGGTTATGCACTTTTATCTGAAATTTGCTCTTGATAATGATATGAACAATGCTTTGTATGACCATACACTGTGTAGTTAGTCAAATGATTGATATGGATACTGGCCAGCCAAAGAGACAACAGGAAGGTTGATCAGTACCACGGACAGCATCAGTCAAATGTTGTGACTGGCCCTAGAACAGTCGTTAGGAACTGCACTGGGGCATACTTCCCCCTGCTTCAACACAAGCCTAGCCTAAGAAGATAAAGACTGAGCCACTAGTGTTTTGGTTCATGAAAATATCATTTATTTTCTGGCAAGTGTGATCAGGTCATTAATTCATGAAAAATAAATACAGTATTACCAATAATGATACTTATGGACAAGTATGGTAAAAGATCCTTTCATTTCGTCTTATGCATACTAAGTATTGGCTAACATAAAAATGAACCATATTGACAAGTGTAATTGACAAATATATGTCTGATGATAACTGGCACAGTTTACACCTTTGATGACTATGGATAATAGTGATGATGCTTAATGTTGAGAGAACATGAAACTTACAAATATTCATATTCAGACCTGCTAGTGGATATGGTAACAAATTTGTGCCTTGTATTTAATGGAAAGAAAAATTTAAGATTCTTTGTCACTTAGGCATCTATTATACTGTACTCTCCTCCTGTCAGAAATGTGAAAATCTCAACTGTCCCTTTTAATCATCCAGTTCAAACACGAAGAAGTCTTCAAGTCTACATCCAAAAAGATAACCAGTGTCACATCAAAATCATTTAATACTTAAGCATTTTCATGAAGGATACAACTTAGGATCGAAAAAAAAAGGATTGAAAGAAAAAATGTTTCACCCCATGTAGAGCCCTTGATAAAGACTGTTCATGGGCATAGAGTGCTGAGAGTTGACACTACCTGGTATCATTTTTCCTACATCTCTCTATTAATGATTACTGAAATATTGTGTAAGATGTACTTACACACATAAAAGTACCCAGACCATTATGTCTGGGTCAGCTGACATATACAGAAGCCATTCTGTATATAGAAGATAAAGAAGTTTTCCATCTCGGTTCATTATAACCCAACCATTGTAGTGCTTTCACAATATACAGCCTATTCCATTGTATAAGATATGCTCCTTCCCTCACTGAAATAAAATTGAAGGCTAGCTCATTTTCAACTTCATCAGATCCCTTCTTTCCTTCACTTGTTGAGCCCAGCAAGATCTGCCAGCCCCTTGGCCTGCCCTGCTCCATGCTGGAACTGTCTCATCATGTTCTGTAGTCCTGCCATTCCACCTGTAATACACCATCAGATACCACTGTGTTATCAAAGCTCTCTCTACATCTGTATGCATCTATTCAACAGATTGATGCTGACAGCAGATAAATCAAAAACTTGTTTCTGTCATGTATTGAAAATGTTTATATCACATCTCCATATGATTCCACAATTCAAGAACTGTTAATGTTTAGACTGCATTAGTGCATACTGACCCATTTGTTGCAGCACCCTTGGGTCCATCATCTTGGCCATCTGTTGGTTCAGCTTGGCCATCTGGGAGGGGTTGACATTCTTAGCCATGTCCCCACCTGAACAACAGAACAATACAAGGTTTAGCCATTGTGTCCTGCATAAACTAATAACAACAAAAGGGTAGCAATCTATGGTTGAAGCACACCACCCCAGACAATCCCCTTTCCAACTCCTTGTCCATGGATAAGGAGTGAAAAGAAACTACAGAAAAATATGTACAACAGATTTATGATGATGTTTACCCTTGAAAAGTCCCTTGATGCCTCCCATCTTTTTGACCATGGCAGCAAACTTGGTGTACTGTGACAGGAGTTCCTGGACTTCCCTCACAGACACCCCGGCACCTCTGGCCACACGAGCGATGCGCCCTGACTGTCGCTGGAGCATCTTAGCTCCATCCAGGCTGTCCAGCTCTGGGGAACAGGAGGTTTACACATCAGCATGTGTAGCAACTCAGACATCAGAAACTAGACACATGTAAGTACAGTAACTACACATATACACTCACTATTAAACAATGTACTTCAAAAAGATACATGTTCACAAAACACTATTGAGTATCAGCCTGAGATTCACACTAAACAACATTTTGTACAGATGAACGTACTTAAGGTTCAAGGTTCAAGGCTACATACAGCATTACTATTAAGTCTTACCTTCATCATTCATGCTGTCCATGATGGTCATGAGTTTCTTGAGCCTGGCAATGGACTCCTGTTCATTACCTTTTGTCATGAAGTCACTGCTGAAGCCTGGGATCATTCCCTACAGAAGAGGCACCAATGTACATATCTCAATCAACACTGTTCACACTTTAATACAACATTTCTTGAACAGTAACAGCCATTAGTCATTCAAAATTTACAGGTCATCTAAGAAGACATGTGAGTCTCTGACATTTGTATTTTTGGGGAAAATAAATGCTGAGTAGATGCAAATTACTACTGACCATGATCTGACTGAAAGGCCCCCATCTTCATGATGTTCTGAAACTGCTCGTACATGTCTCGCAGCGTGAACTTGCCTGTACAAGGATGGATGAGGTTAGCAAACTTTGATACACAAATTGATACACAATTAGGCAACCTTGGGTGTTAAGAAAGAAAGGAATTTTCCAATGTGAACAGTACCAACCTTGTTTCAGCTTCCCTATGAGTTCTCCATTGTCATCCAACTTCAGCTCATTCACCCTGTCTATCAGGCCTTCAATGTCCCCCATACCTGTCATGTGTGAGGAAGGAGGTTATTGAAAGGATATATTTTCCCTGGTTCTAAGACATGGGGACATAACCCCACGACTTGAAGAAGTCTGAGCAGGATGATGGGAACTTTGCAAAAATTGGACTAAAACATTCTGTATGCACTAGAGTATACAGGAACAAAATTGTTGAATTTGTACATTTATAGCAATACATCAAAACATCTTACCTAACAGTTTACTGATGAAGGGCTGTGTCTTGAAGGGTTCAAAGTCATCTATATGCTCGCCTGTGCCTATGAACACAATGGGACTTTTCGTGGCTGCCACACTGGAGGTGTAAAGATAACCAAGATTAGGGTATAAATTTGTTATCAATGCAGTTAAATTCATGGTTGATTAGCACATTGTGTAGAAATAAAAATGATATTTACACCCAGAAAATATCAGTACTAAAATGTTCCGCTCTACTACAATCAAATACATCCTTCAATGTGCAATGGCATATCAACATTTACTGTTTGTTTGAAGTAGAAACAAGTGCCTCTGTGATCGATGTGTAAATGTAGAACTTGACTTACGCGCTAAGTGCACCTCCACCCTTGGCATGACCATCCAGTTTGGTGATAATGACGGCTCCTACATCAACTTTGTCTTTGAAAGCTCTGGCCTGAAAGGGAGCAAGAGTAAGTATCTCTTTTATCATGTCACATCATTCTTTATCAAGCCAATAGTCAAAGCTGTTGAGTTTATCGTAGACTTAACCAGCCTTTAACATTATTTGACAGGATTTTCTATTGTGAGAACTTACTTGAGATTCGCAGGCCTGTCCTATAGAGGCATCCATCACAAACACAATATTGTCTGGGCTCTGGAACAGAAAAGTTAAATATGATATTATGCTCTAACATGGATTCTACCTGACCAAGACAGCTATATGAGTGTACATGAGACAGAATACATTTGGTTGATAAGGGCCTTGTCCTGTGATATGAATGTGTACAATAAAGCACACATGACTCCACATCTAATTGAAATGATGCAAACGTTGTATATGTTAATGATTCAAATGTTGTATATGTTATCTATTTATAAGGGAAGAGGGAAAAGAAATCTACACATCACTCTATTGTGACAGGCTGAATAAAAGTTCTAAACGGGAACTATGCGGCTCCAGATGTCTTACTGAGGGAAGACTGCGTGTGCAAGATGTCGGTTAGCTGAGGAATGAATCCCCTCAAATTCACTACACATCACTCTATTTATAAGGGAAGAGGGAAAAGAATCTACACATAACTTAACATACAAAGAACTTAGAAGTACATGTACATGTATCTCTATTATCTTAGCTATACCCTGGTCTACCCAAGTTACAGACTGACCAGAACACTACTTTAGACTTACAACAGCATTTGACACTTGTAACATCTCCTCAAAAAGTGAGTCCTCCTGTTTGTGCCTCCCACTGGTGTCCACTATGATGATCTCAAAACCTTCTTGTCTGAACTTTTCCACACCTTCTGCTGCGATCACTACAGGGTCCATTTCTGTATAGCTGAACACATAAACCATTATTACTTGACATGATGTAAAAACAACAATATACAATTCAAACCTAAAAGTGTTTGATGTCACATTTCTTTAGAAGGAGGATTCTTATAGAGAGAAAAAAAAGACAAAAAGTTTACCTAATACTTTCAACTTATGAACGGTTAATTGATTTAAATAGAAATATTTGCAACAACTCATCTACTACAGACAGGTACTTACATTGACCATGAATAACATATAATTGAGCAATCCCAACTCACCTGCCATAGAAAGGTATTCTGGCTTTTGTTGCATTTTGTTTCAGTTGGTCAAAGGCACCTGAAATTAACGAATTAACTTTCAGTCACTAACCAGGCAAATACCTCAACACAATGTGAATTTGTTGTTATGTAATAGATTTTCACTGTTCTCCATATTTGTGATTTCAGTACAATGTATGTTCATTTCTTTTCCAGAAATATTTGTGAGTAGAGCAAAACAGGATTCACAGTTTTTCTCCTACCTGCTCTGAAAGTGTCGGCACAAGTCAAACAGCTCTTCCATCCTTTCTTCTGGTAATAGTAGGCAAGCTAGGGATATACATAGAATAGTGAATAAACTTATTCATGTTAAATTGAGTGATGAAGTACACTGGCCATATCATACTTCTAAAATCATTGTGATGGTACTTAAACATTGGACAATATTTGAGCCATTGCCCTACCTTAGTACATGTTGTTGTTTTGCCACTTCCCTGCAGACCCACAAACATGATGATATTGCTTTTCCCCTTGACTGGCTGCCAAGCCTTCACTCCTGGGTCCACCAGCTGCAAATACAACAATAACGTTAATGGGCACAGAAACTGAAATTCCTCTTCAACAGTCATTGCAGATGTGTGTCTCCAATGCAGATCCCTTTTAGTAAGTTTTTGGTCCCTGCATAGAAAAAGTCAATAAATGGACACCTGACAGCATGGAGCCCTGTCATATGGGATGCCAATGTAAAGTCATATTTTGTATGAATTAAGCTGAACTACACCATTGACCAAAAAAATGTGTATTTATCTTTTTTACTGCCCCCTCGGTGTCAAGCACTGACATGTGGCAAGGGAAATGATGGAGATTGGTAACTCAATATCTACATGTTACATCTCACCAGGGACAAGGAGAATAAGTAAGAACACCACTTATGCTATTTATTAAATCTAGAAAGATGATGCAAACCTAAATGCTACCTTGAGCAATAAAAAAAACAAGAAAAATTCAAGCCTGACCTTGACCAGCTCCCTGAAGACCACAGACTGGATCATCCTCCGCTTGTTCAGTCCTGCTGCCATGTCATCAAGATCTAGGGATGCTCTAGAAGTAGTAGAACACAATGTTAAACAGTACATTTGTTTTTGATGACACCTTTAAAGGTACATATTTCCTTTGCTTGATGTAAGAAATACTTTTAATCAATACATTCTGCACTACCCGGTATAGTATATTAGTAATTCTATATCATGATTATTTACCTCTGCATAACTTCCATTATCTGAAAACACTATTTCTTATGTTTGTGTGGAACAGAAAGTATGAAAAACATTTTGTCTTATGTCTGGGCATAAAGCAAAGGTAACTTGACTGAAAGTTTGATAGTTGATATGATGTAACGTTACCTGACATTCTCCCTGAGCTTCTTTACAAGCATGATGTTGACATCAGACTCAATCAGAGCTCTGCAGATCTCACCCAGCATAGAGTTCAGCACCTGGAACATGTCATGGGGCATTCATGAATAGTAATGATCACAAAACACCACTCAAACCAAATGTGTATTATGTAGATAATCTCATGGAGGTGGTAGAAACCTCCACGATTACCTCTAACCCCACAGTTAGAGATGTTCAAGGTGTGTCGAAATGGGTTTAAACCTCCTTGATTTATCTGATGGAAATTTGACACTGTATCATCTTATGGCCCAATCATGAAACTGATAGGTATAATCTATGACTAGTCATTTGGGATTACACAGGTCTTCACATCGAGAGATCATTAAGTTTTGTGAAATGACAGAGAAATTGAAATGATTTTCACCATATGGAAAATTTATTCATAATTCGAACGTTTAGCCCTACAAGAGCATGTTAATGTGCAAAGTCTCTAAATCATAAAAAAGTCACTGACGAACGGTGAAAGTGAAAGACTGATCTGTGTGTCATCTCAAAGGAAGGGACAGGGAGAACTATAATTTGGTACACTGTATAGACTAATTTTTCTGCATGCTGTATCTGATATAATTTGCCCCCCTCCCCATACTCCATACCAAACACACAAAAATTAGATACGCTCACCTCCTCGTTGATAACAGTGGCATTGCTAAGGGACCGCAATGCGTTTGTTATCTTCCTGCCCAAATCTGCCAACACCATGTTGACTTGATGCCCTCACTTATACCAGTAAAAGAGAAGGTAGTGGGAATGCAGGTGGGGTCTGCAAAGTTGCGCAGCACAGAATCGTCTGCACTTCAGGCTCTAACTGGCAGGTTTCGTCCCCTTACTTCCGTCGACGTGTACAAAATCAAACAGTCAAATAACATCACATCAAACTCGTGAGAGATTCTCCTGGGAGAGTGAACATCACAAAAACTCTAATATCTCTCAGATGCAGCGATATTTCCCCGTTTATCGAAGTTTCGTTTGCGGAAGTGCAAAAGTCAGAGATATCCTCAATATCCAAGATGGCGGCGGTCAGGCGTAAGTACGCATGTGCAGTAAATTGTGAGCCAATCATGGTTACTGTTGAAAGGTGCAAGATTCTCCCCGGCACAACACGAAGCCTCCATAGCTCAGTGGTTAGAGCACTGGTCTTGTAAACCAGGGGTCGGGAGTTCAAATCTCCCTGGGGGCTACCCTTTTACTTTCAAACAGAATATTTTTTTCACGTAATCCAATAATACATAATGGTCCTTGTAACACTAGCATTACCTGATCATTTTTCCTGACACAAAGCCTTTTCCTTACTCTGATTGAAAAGTATGAAAACCTGGAACTGCTAAGACTATCGTTAAGTGTATTCTCTATATCTGTAGTAAGACCTAAACATCTAAATGAAGTACCAGCAGCACTTCTGCAATTTCTGAGATTTCACCATGAGCAGTAACGTTAGATTGTGTTCTTTCAGATAATTTTGGACAAAGACAGAACCAGTCCACAATAACGTTACTAAACGCTAACATTATTTCTTTGAGAGGCTGAAACATAAAAGATTGGGGTAGCCTTGTCAGTATACAGTAAGTTACATAGGTATTTAAATACTAGTACTTGATACTTCCTTTAATATGCTATCAAGCCTTTTTTTTTTTGCTATGATGTGGACACATGCTTGTAAAATTATATTGAAGACAAAAAGTCAGAAGCCAGCATTTTATTACATAAATATCATACATTTCACTGACATGAATACTAGTGCATTGTATTACCAAGGACATTATCACAAAAGTTGACCAACCTTATTGTGTTTGTATCATTGCAGTGCAAACTGTTTACAAATTCACAATGCTTTACGAGGACAAAAACAATAGCACACTTGAATTAGATATGGGAATCAATGATTCACAACATCAATACATAATTTACAGTATTTGAAAATAATGCAGTCATCACATGATCACGAGCTATCTTTTTCCTCCAAGGTCATCAGCACATCGAACTAGTGCATCATGGATTTCCTTTGCACAGGTGACCTGTGACCTGGCTAGGCCCAGGAACTGTCCATATGGCATAGTCTGGCCATCTCCACTGGTCTCTGGTTTGGACATGATTGGTACTTGGAGGGGAGCATGGCGCACACTTTCCTGGTGTTGGGTAAGGCACTCCTGTGCAAGACGCTGTAGAACATTAAAAAAAATCTGTCAGTGGATATTCTCTGAATAATGCTGATTACAATGTTAAGTATAACTACTAACATTTAATGTTACTTTTCTGAATTCTCAACTACAAAGTAAATGCCACATGAAAAGGTAGAGAGGGACAGTAGTAGTTAACAGTACTTACCAAATTTAGCTCAATTTGATCAAGAGTTGAATAGAATTCTTCAAGGTTTTTGTCCACCCTTTGAGAAGGATTATCACCACTTTTCCTGTATGGAGAAAAGAAAGATGGTACAAATGAAAGGAGCCACAGTCATTAGCAATAGACAGAGCATGATAACAATGTTGATTAATCAAAATACATGAAAACACACTACATATAAGTCTAACACTGGACTATTATGTCATTGTTGAATAGAACTTCCTCGGTATGTTATGCTAGTGTAACGAGCCGTTCCTTGGCCCTGTCCCCCACCCCAGGGGTATCGAAATGAGACGAGACGCAGAGAGAGATGAAGCTCTGGCAAGGTCTGTATTCAAGAAGTCAGGCACATGTCTGGAACTGAACTGGTTCTAGCTAGTTCTGACAGGTGACCTCTGGGGGTCACCGGACTGGCCTATTGTACTGGTAGGGGGTATCTTTACGATCTTACACTAGCCTAATCTTGTCTCTTTCTGTGTTACATATAACAGTTACACTTGATAGGAAATACAGATGTAGCTAATTCCTTTCAAGGTAGTGATTTTGATAAAATTGCAGAAAATGATACCTACAGCTGGTTATCAATTGCTGCATTGTGCACAAGATTCTGTCCTGCTATCCTCATGAGATTCTGCAAAGGAGACAATGAAGAAAATTAATTCGATAATACAGGAAAGTTCAGGAAACCTTTCAAGACGATGATTTAGTGCAAAGGAATATCCTTACCACTAATGACTCCTTCAGATGTGGAACAAGCAGTTTAAACTTGGAGATGGGGTCTACTTCCATGGTTTGCTGCTGCTGTTGCTGTTGTTGCTGCTGCTGTTGGCTAGCCATGCTGAGTCTGGCGGAGATCAGGAAGAAACCAATCTTTCTAGGGGAGAACATTTTGACGCCAGTACATAAATATAACTATATTCAATTTATGGACTAAGAAATACCATCAAAATATTAAAAATCGTATAGTAAATCATGCATTGTATATCTAGCGTTACAAAAATGTGTAATTTTGCCTTATTTTACCAATACAGTAATTAGTTACACCCCTATACAACAGTGCACGTTTCTAAGGTCAAAGGTGAAGCATCGAAAAAGTTGGAAGCGAGGACCTCCATTTTGTTTTGCTTCACGAAAAAGTGATCAGCGGTCGTTTCAACATGCCCCCAACGGTACAGAGTGGACAAAGAGAGCAAAGGTATGTCTAGAGACTATTTTCACTTGGACAGAGGCTTTAGAAATTACGTAAACTGAGTGATTAGGACGGGAAAAGTGCGCGTGGCTGCTGATTTTATATACATGTGATTAAGCTACGTCGTCATGCATGG